TCTCTGTATCCGGAGACCAGAACGGTATATAAGCAAATGGGTTCACACTGTAATTTCGACTTGTTCTCGGTGCGTCAATTATACGTTCGTTGCTCATCGTGTGTTCTTGCTTACGTAGCTGGGAGAAAGCTACTAACGATTGTGGCTTGAAATCTGTGCTGCGGTCGTACTTTTGGGGCTAGACGATTAGTGTGGCTGTTGAGGTACACGATCCGTAGTGTTCGGACCTACCTGCTATCTCTGTGCACGTTTGCGCCCTGTGATATCGTGCACGTCGTCTATGAGTGTCCAATCTATGTTCTCGTCCATTGTCAGTAGTGAGTGTCACTATCATTGTGTTATGCTGTGTTCCATCGATTCCCTTTTCGGGGCATACTGTGTCTCACACCGTTCTGTACTATTGTGTCAGTGTGTTTTTCCTTGTTGTGTCTCCTAATTGTGATTGATCGTGAACGACACAACCGGTATGCAATTACAATAAAGAAATCGCCCACTGAACAATTTTATTGGTTATTGTTGTTGTTGTTGTTGCTCACACAAAATGCGAAGTTTTAACCAAAAACAGTTTGTTTGTATAAACATTGTAAACACAGCAAGAAAGATGGGAATAAGAAGTCAGTCGTCTTTCTCAACAGGATCTGCTATTACACTCGCCCCGGACATATTATTCGAACCGAAAAAACGGAATCGAGAACTCACTCGGTGTGTGTACAATCAGATGCGTGGTTTTCTCGCTCAGTGTGAGCTGATTGTCCACCTCACCACCCAACTCGGTCACTATGGCCGCATACTGATCGCGTTCGTCTGCAGCGAGACCACTGAACGAGATAACCGGTTGTTTTGTTGGTCGTTCTTCGTTCAACTCGCCTGATTTCCCGTTTACAGTAGTCCCAACCGATGTGCCACGAGGATTGGTGTTCGCAGCTGGTGGTTGCATGGATGTGGTGGTGGTGGTGGTCGAGCTCAGCTCGGTCGAATTCGATTCCAGGACTGGTGGTAGATCACTGGAAGGAAAAAGTTGGCAACGGGGAAAGGTTGGAGAGGGCAGGTTATTAGTGGATGGAGGAGCCTATGAACACGGACAGGGGCTATTACCTCGATCCGTATAGCCGAGAGCAAGCGTGGGCGAGGGAAACCCGTGAGCAACGCAATCCCTTCATTACTTCATCTTAACAAAACTTCGGTGCTGGAAACTGATTGTAAATAAAAACGGAACAGAGGATTTGATTCGTTTATAAGATGAATTGTCGTGCATATGAGGCGTGAGCTAAAAAGCTAGAAAACACTGGACAGCGGAGCTAAGCGAGGACCGATACTCGCAACAAGCTCGAAAAGACGGGTTGTGCTGTATCGTGTATATTCAAAATGAGAAACGGTCTGATCGGCGACCCGGTGGATAGCATGTTTGCGTTCTGCCTGTCACGTCCCGGGTTCGCCTCTCATCTGAGTCGATGGACTTGCGTATTGCAGATGAGATTCAACCAGGTCGAAACAGTTGTCTAGTGCTTCCCAGCTTTTCAGCTTACGTCTCATTTACACGACGAATTCATCATATAAACAAATGGGGAATAAAAAGCTAAAACTGTCCCGATGAACTCTGATCTACACATCCTTTAAATTTTAGTTGAACTCAAATCAAGATAAGCTTTATGCACACAGAGCGGTAAATTATCAGCAGTGCTGAAATTTATTAGAGAATTGCAAAAAATAAGATTAACAAGAATGATAAAAGGCAAAAAAGATAGCTTCGCGTAAAAACAAAACATTAAACAGGGTTCAGCGAAACTCGGAAAAGATCAGTAACTATATTGTTCCTATGAGAGATGCTA